AAATGAAGTACACGTTGCACGAAGCCCGTCGTATGGAAACGAAGTCTGCAGCTCAAGCAAAGAACTACCCGTCGTGCGCCAAAGCGTACTCCAAATAGCGTCGGCAATGATATTCAACGAGGAACATTGGGATTATCAACCCACAACACTACTGATTGACTCCGGCGCCCAGCGAAGCTTCATCAAATTAAAACTTAGTGAAGAGCTCAAGCTGCCAGTCAGCCAAACGACGTCATTCAACACATCAGGAATGGGAGAATTGAAAGAGACATTCAGTTCCAATGAAGTACAAATTACTTTGAAAGGCTTTCACAACGCAAAGAAGCTTAAGAAGATATCAGTACACACAAAAGACAAATTGACTGCCAATCTACATACAGCACATCTCACAGATGCAGATGTTCAGTTCATTTCCAATAAGAACTTGAAGATAGCTCAAGATACGCTCACTCATAAAAGCGTCTTGCCTGAACTCATTATTGGACAAGATCTTCTCAGCTTCGTCACTATTCACACCGAAACAGTGCTCAAGCTTCCTTCGGGGCTCATCTTAACCCCAACAATCTTTGGATATGTCATATCCGGTACAAGCCGTACCAACATGAGCACAGAGATCGTTGGCACTTTTGATTGTATATCAACGATGCAGGAAGCCTCCAAATCCGCCCCTCACCCTCAACGACACGTCAAATGTCTGACGGCGAAGAAAACGGGCACCAGTTTCAACGAAAGCAGTACACATGCAATCAACAGAAGAATTCTCCAAGCGCATGCTGAAGTAACATCTCAAAAGACAACGAAGTTGTTACCAAAAAAGAGGAAACGCCGGACAGCTGCTTTCAACCGCGAAGCTAAGGCAGACAGACAACGTTGGCTGGCCCTGTTCGCTGCTCAGGCTCTAGTTCCAGCTACAACACGAGGAGTGCAAATGGAACTCTTGCCAGAACACTTCCACCGACGACACAAGCCAAGACAAAGATGAAGGACATGCCGAAGATCACACATCACGAACATCTGATCACGGAAGTGCCGGCTATCACGAAGACAATCACCGACAACGATTCTGTCAACTCAAAATCGACGAGAGCAGATCCGAGGAGGAAGAAGAGACGACGACGAAAGGCGAAGCCACACTACGGGACAGCAACGAGCAACCACTACAACTGTTCACCGTGAACTCTCTTCCGTCTATAGCTTCCATTACTGTATCTAAGTCTACACAATTCTATGCTTTTGTTGTAATTGTGCCTACCTTAACTTCTTGCTTCCTCGCCCGGAGTGTTGATGATCTACGAATCATCAACCTCAATAACCAATCTAATCGCTTACACTCATGAACACAGCTATATCTCAATTTCTAAGTACAAATGCTTTTAGGAGGTTTTGATTGTATTTATTTGTTTACATTTCAACAGATTTCGCCTCCTCTTTGCTCGCCCGGAGTGTTGATGATTTATGTATCATCAACCTCAACAAATCTATAATCCTAATAGCTTACGGGTATTCCCCACAGGCTAAATTCCCCAACCGCTTATATTTAAGTGCCGAATCACTCACCAGTGAGTGGCACCTATCTTCCAGGGGCCACGCCAAGCCGCGGCATCCTCTTTCTTGCATATATTTCCTGGACAGTCTGATTGTGCACGGGTCAGCTCCGCCTTACTACCTATATAAGGAGCCCCCGATTGTATTATAGGTTGCTCCCCGGTCCAAAACCGGGTTCGTCTGTGGATAAATCTATTATCGACACTGTCATCGCCTACGACACTTGGTTCCCACCAAACCCGGCCTCAAAAAAATGCTTGCTCCGGTGACCCGTAATAGCCAATACATTGTGGGAGGTGGGTGGAGCAAGCTAATAGTAAATATCTCCTCCCTAATTTCGGCATTTTTCGCTCAGCAATCTATATACCATTTGAAAGCTCAGGAAAAGCGAATTCGACTTAGACTGTCGACTTCTTTCTAGCCGCCCTCTACCGAGAGATAGACTGCATTTTATCTAAAATCATGTCCATTTTCAACAGCAGATTTCTGCCAGACAAAGACCTAATCACTGCTGTTTATCTATCTACGTTACGAAGCAAGTCTTCATCAAAAAACGTGGACCGTCGACTTTCTTGTAGCATTCATTTGGAGAGCAGAAAGAGAGGACACAAAATCAGTTGATACATAAAGTACATAAAATTCCTCATATCTCGCGGCACAGAAGAAGCAACATGATGAACGATCAACCTAGAAAAAGTCGACGATCTACGTCGGTTCTACATGACCTCAGCTTTCGAATGGTATGCAACTGTTGGGGCATTTTGCTTTCAGGGCTCACTTACCCCTTCACCTTACAAGGATCGAGGTAGCACAGACCCCCTTCACCTGGAAAAGGCCCGACTCCCGCTATCGCACCTATGCACCGAATGCTCTAGCTACAGTCTGCTCCAATCGGGATCAGGCCGAAGCGTCGGCATAAATTTGCGCGCTCGCAGCGCTAGCGGTCTGCGCTGCATATGCGCGCTGTCGGAGAGAGCCAAAGGATTGAAGAGAGAGCAGAGAAGCAGGCCGTGGGCGTGACCGCGAGACCCTAGCGACGCGGGCTCCCGCCATGCCAATTTTGGCCTGCTTAGGATTGGGGCAGACTGTACATCTGCCTACATCGAAAGCAACATGATGAACGATCAACCTCGGAACTGAGCAGGAGGAAGCGAGCAGCCTGAGGAGCATGCGCGAGCAGTCGCCTTCCAGCCGCTAAGCTCGTTGAATCAAAGGGTACAAGGCGACTGAAGACGTAGAGAAGAAGAGGAGGAACATACGGCTCCGCGCCCATCTTTTCATCAAGACGATTCTCCCGCTTTGACGCACCACTTCATAAACACAAACAATGAGGAAGCAAGACGAATAGGCGGTCAGCGTCATCGAACGTGCCGTTGAGCAAATGATGAGGAGTGAACAGATTCACGTAGTGAGGGAAGGAGTGCCGACTACCCCCTTCATCAGCGGACAAGGATCAGAGTCGCAGCTGCATATGCTAAACAGGCCGAGTTTGAATGGGCCGGACACGTTATGCATTTTGATGACAACCGGTGGACCAAAGCTGTAACGGATTGTGTACCTTTTGCAAATTGAACGCGGACGGGGAGACCGCCGACCCGATTGTTGGATATGTTCATGAAGTTAGGGGGCGAGTGGCGTAGTGGTATGAGGCGCCGCTATGACCAGATCGGACGCAGGTTTGATCCCCGCCCCTGGGCCAACCAAGCCCTCTACCCTCCCGGGCCCGCAAATTGGTAGACTTGGTAAACGGCTGGCTCCCGCAAGTCACGTAATAGGCTACGCATGCAATTGCCTCTTCGATCATGAAGTAGTGTGCGTTCGGCGCATATCCGCAGAGGGTACTGAAGACGCCGAATCCTTTATCCTTAAAAAAAAGTTCTTCACAGCGTTCCTCCTCATTCTGGGTGCGATACGAAAACACTGGCCCGAAGTAGTTGCGCGCCCCATGGACGCGGAAGGCGAATTGGATTCTACACTAAGTTTCGACCCGCTTTAGGCGGAGATTGGATTGGCGGGCGTCCGCCTCGCAACAGTTCGCGCCGTCACGCAGCTATAGGCTGTATCAGCCAGCATCGGTCCCGCGCCAGTATGTCTTGCGACGACGCACCGTCGCATGCGACGTGCCTTAGCGCTAGCAGAGTTCGCACGCGTCACACCGCGCCGTCGCAAGTTGCCGCGGGCACGACGTCGCATGACCGATGCTGGTTGGTACAGCCTATGCAGTCGGTTCCATCTCGGATTAGGCGAAACATTCTGCATGGAGCGACGCGTGCGCGTCGCTGGAGGCTTCGCGAGAGCATAGCGCTGGCAGCTTGCCAGGCAAGGACTAAGTAGAATGAAGAGACTCGGGCTTGGGTACCCAACGCGATATGACATGCTGTAGCTGCGTAACGGTGCGAACCGTTGCGAGGCGGACGCCCGCCAATCCAATTTCCGCCTAAAGCGGGTCGAAACTTACTGTACAGCATGTCATATCGCGTTGGGAACCTAAGCCTGAGTCTCTTCATTCTACCTAGTCCTTGCATGGCAAAGCGCCAGCGCTATGCGCTCGCGAAGCCTCCAGCGATGCGCACGCGTCGCTCCACGCAGAATGTTTCGCCTAATCCGGGATGGAACCGGCTGTATTCGTGTCAAACTACGATGAACGGGGACACAGGTGCTACAGGTGATTATGAAAGCACGCTTGAGGAAAGGCCATATCTATGTAGGTACGTTGGCGTTGCCGAGGTTGCCGAGGCTGACGATGTTGCCGGGGTCAGAAACAGCTTAGAGAGCGCGCGAAACGTGGAGGCTATCATGAGGGCCTACAGACCGGCAACGCCAGCAAACGTCGGCAACCTCAGCCACCGTTGCGGGCAACCCATGGCCGTTCCCTTATTATCAACTACCATATACTGCTAAACGAAACATTGGCTTGAAGATGACGTCGAGACCTGAGAAACCATTATCCGTCGGAATCCGGCGCTGACTTTAGCTACAGTATATAGCTAACGCGACCATAAAAGGTGACCCGGCTGCCTCTTACTTTTTCATTGATCATACTTATCTGATCATAAAGTGGTCCTGTATTTAGATATGATGTGTTGTTTATCCTCTGGGCCATATATAGAACTGATCATTTCGCTATCCGTATTCAAGTAATGAATGGGGACCTGAGTTTGCTAATAACTGATTTGTGATGGATGAGTAGAAGTATTTACGGACTCTTTTTGTTGTAAAGGATTTCAAAACAAGGCTGTCATTGATAAGGATGACTTCATCTCGCTGAACAATGTATGTACACGTTTTGGGAAGCAGAGGTAACTTTATCATAAAGCCCTTTATATTCTAGCGATAAGCTATTGGGATATCTCGATAATGATAAATTCCATGAGATATCCTAGAAAAACATCAGTTCCTTAGTTTTTGCACGTTATGGTATATTGAGAGAGTATGCAAGATGAGGAGAATTTTCATACCGTGGCAAGATCAGAGAGTAAACAAGACAAATGATAGTTTCAGGATGACCTAATGATGTGGTAAGTAAGATTTATACGTATTAAGTAAAATTCATAGCCAAAGGAAAAATAAGAAGCAGCTGGGTCGCCTTTTATGGTAGCGTTAGCTATATACTGTAGCTAAGGTCAGCGCCGGATTCCGACGGATAATGGTTTCTCGAGACCTGCATCTACCATTGCTTTTTGAATCTATTCAGAGCGCTATGGGGAATGGGAAGCGGCATAAAAAGCGGTTGAAACTTATCTACTTGTTTTTCCCCCCTACTATCGTCAGTTTTTGAAACGCTAACGGAATAAGCGTGTTAAAAGCATCAACAAATGTGCTCCAGCAATGATGCAGCGCGCCCGCCAGCAGCAAATGATTTTTTGCCGTTTCGGCGAAAGCCGCCTCTGATTCATTGGCAGGTGCCCGCCTTCCAACTTCATGTTCCGCAATTTTTTTCTGCTTTGCTTAGTTTTTAGGGGTTTGATAAGGCAGCAGTTTAATCGGCCGACAGTTTCTTTCCTTTCTTGACCTATGTGGTCAGGGAGGTTTTTTGGAAAGGGACGTTATAAACGGTGCATTCGGGATAGGAATTCAAAGCTTTCCCTTTCCATAGCTATCTTCCGATACCTGTCTTTTTTCCAAGATATATCATCGTAGGGTTGAAAACAGAGGGCTACTTGTAAAATCGACATAAATGATCTATTCGGGGGGGATGCGGATCTTTAACAACTTTCAAATCGTGACTTGGATTGTAATTGGCATATTCTTTTCGGATTTCGCTCTCAATATCTCATTTTTATAGTATTGGCGATAGCTCACCAAGATGAGTGAAGCCGATGACCCTGCAAACAAAGAGGGGAACGTCAACGAAAGCGTGGAAGTTTCCTCTGTTCATAGTGCCGGGACTAGTGCTCCAATGGTCGATCTGCACGCTTGCGGGATTTGCTTTCAGGTTTGCTTTGTTGTATATTAATCTTTTAATACTCTATATTATCTCTTTCGGTGAATGGTCTTCACTTTGTATATTTAAACTTATCCCTATGCGCAGGAAATCATATCTCGCAGTGCCACTTTTGCGAGCACAATCAGTATATAGACATGAATTTAGAGTGAGGACTCAGTGAGCAAAATATAACGTGAATCAGTCTAAGTTCTTCGGACTTAGACCGGGCACGGCCAAAATTCACCCATCGATCTAATCAGTCGCACCTAAGAAAAGGTACTAAGCCAAGTTGATATCTCAGACAGAATACCTATGCTTCTTTGAATTTTTTTAGAAGATTTGAAATCTTTGCTAATGTTGCTTGGGGCACGGTGCAGGCTTATGTCATAATTCATGAGAAATAGAGCACCGCTATGGAGTCATATGCATGCATAGTCGCATAACGCTTTTCCTTAAAGGCAGCGTCCACCCAGAATTTGGCCTCCCATGTTTTCGTCATTCTGAGGCCTTTCCGTGGCCCTGTACAGTTCCGAACTTCAAACTTTCCAAGATTCACAAAAAACCCGATTCTTGGGACCCTCTCTTGAGGGCGCGGACGAGTTTCAGATCGCTCGTCCCCGTCGGCATGCCAGCGGGGAGGAGCTGCAACTCCATGGCTGCAGTTGCAGCAGTGTACATCTTCTGCTCACTACCACGTTAATACGTGTCGGGAGGCATCCCTGGCTGGGCGGAGTCTGATATCAGACTCCGCCCAGCCAGGAACTTCCAGGCCCCTTATCTCCATTCAGAGACAACGTTAGAAGACCGGACCAACGCAGATGCTCCTTTTCTGGGGCCTACATTCAGGATCGACACTAATCGGAGGGGGTTAGGTTTAGCCTGGACACTGCCTTTAACATCTTGTTCTTAGTCCTTTCATCTAATTTTCTCGATGTAGGCATGACCTTGAAGAATCAGGAGTGAGTCAGTGTATCACTTTCTAATAAACACTAACCACATTATCCCGATTAGATTGAGAGTTATCGCTTGCTACTGAACACATTATTCTGTTGTCGTAATCTCAATGCAGATACTTGAAAGGTTTTGCATTATCTTTTGCCGTAGCAGGGGCTAGTAGTGCCAGTCACCATCTCATCGACAGAATCTATTAGATATGACTTTCGCACCTAGCTCGCTATGAAATCAGAAACTGTATCTGTGCAGCGTCGAAGAGTGGGCGGGGGGGGGGGTCAGTTCGTGCGAATCTGCTGCTCTGATCGATGGTTTTTCCCATGATCGACGCGATGCTATAAAAGTTGGCGTCAGCCAAATAAATTGAGGTTTAGCTGACCCTTCAATGGTAAGCATGGAACTGGGTTTGAGACAGATTGGTGACGTATGAGGTCTTTCTTATGGGTGTTACTGTTGCGCTGAAGACGTATGCATGCTTTTACGGTTTGAAATAGCTGGAAATAGAGCGCTTTCCTGCTTGTAGAAGAGTGCGTGGACGAAATGATCAAACCGATCGTAAGGTATTGAAAGAAATACGGTCGAGACAGAGGTGCTTGGTGGTCCTGCAGAATCTGGAGCTTGGTGGAATGGGGGAGAGGGCGGGCGAAGAAGACTTTTTTCTGCTTTCTTTATCATAACATAATTTTCTGCTTGTGCATTTGTCTAGTTGAGGTGTCTGCTGGCGTCATGGAAAACATAAATGGTTTCATTGCAAAATCTGGTGGAAATACGTTAGACTTTTATTCTTGATGATGTTTCCTTTCATTTCCGATCCGTTTCACATTTTTTGCCTAGTTTTGCCGTTTTACCAAACCCAAGCAAAATCCTTCCTGTAAGTCAGGAATCTGATGGTTGTATACAATGCTACAAATGTTGGATGGTCAGTGTGCTGAAAACATGCATTTGCATTCGATTTTCATTATCTTTATTTTTTGCTGAATGCTTCAGGAGCAAAATACTAGTGCTGAGCTCTAATAATTTTATTTCATGAGGTCTGATGCAAACATTCACTGAAACCTTGGTCATGTGAGTCTGATGCTCCACTAACATTTTGCAAATATCTATTCGCGTGACGAGAGAGTCTCATGTGATCGTCTTCTTCTGTTTTGTCGTCATCGGCTTTTATGACGTCACCACCTCAAAATATGGCCTGATAGCTTTATTGATGACATCATTGTAAAATGGAACCCTACGTTTTGCCTCGGTTTCAGCTTGATGATTGTACTTTATCCTTGGCAGGCTTTTTTTCCGCAATAAGCGTCGCAAATGACGTTATCTTGCTATCACATAATGGTGGGACAAATTTTTTTTTTGTTCGAAGAAAGACAGGGCTATGTGTCAAGCAACATTCAACTGGAGAAACTAAGAAGAAGATTCTAAAGATTTTCTTTTCCGGCAAGTTACGAAACTTTCCTCGTCGTTATCTTCGTTTTAGGATAGTAGGGTAGCATATAGTAGGGCAGCTGTTCCGAAGAATTTTCTGTTCACCTAGCTTCTGATCCTTTTTCTATAAAGGGTTTCGAAACAACGAATATCCTAAAGTCGTTTATGACAAGTTTAATGTGATTTACACACTTTCAGCTCTATGACGAATCCGAGCGGTTACCGAAAGTTCTTTCTTGCGGTCACACGAATTGTCTCACGTGTCTCAACAGCTGGGTGAAGCATAGCTCTTCGCCATTTCCTGTTTGCTCAATATGTCGACGTGTAACCAGAAAACCCGTAAACCTCTTGGCTACTAATTTTCAGTTGTTACGTAAGTGCTGCTTGAGCCTACTATTCGCGTGTGACATATCTTGCTTGCAGAAGTACTGCGAAGGATGAAGTTGATATCTGCTGAATCAAAAGAGGCTACTCCTGATGATCAACAGCAGAGTGCTAATGCTGCTGATAATGATGCTACTGCTCTTAACTTGGCTGCAGTTTGTGAGCAGGTTGATGGTATGTTTTAGTTCACAAGTTTTTATCGAGTTTATGGTAATTACATCTCAGAGCATATGCAAGAAGTTGCATCTCTTCTTGAAATCCAAATGGAGGCTCTCAATATGAATGAACAGCAGAACAGCAGCGGTCAGATTTGCACAAATAATTATTTGTATGAAGTCCATGTGCCCATACAGTAGCTTCCCATGAACGTAGTGTACTGATTGTCAAGAATTAGTTGATTTTAGATCAAGGATTAGTTGATTTTAGATCAAGGATTGTTATCTCGTATGATTGAGAATTCTGTTGCTGATCTTTTATCGCGGTGGGATTCAGCAAAAACATATCTGTTGGATGCAGAGAAACGAGTAGGTTTTTTCTTTTCATAAACAGCAATCTTCTCTACACTTAATGGAGAGCGGTCTTTTTTGAGATTTTTCCGACAAGTTGTATACCATTGAGATTGAAATTGAGATGCCGAATTTACACACCTGGCCACTTCTCTAAAAATTCAATGGTTGTACTGCGCTTTGCCTAGTCTACCTCTCCCTTTTTCCTGCAAAAAAGTTAAAGTGGCGGAAGCCGTACGAATATTTTCCTCTACCTATCCATATCCCCCGCCCCTTACACACACGAGTGCGAGTAAATGCGCTGAAAGAATTGCATAAAGCATCAAGGCGCCATAACTCGGCATTCCAATGGAGGCCAATGCGCATTGTATCTTATTTATTTACAGAAGACTGGTAGCTCTTCGTCACGAGAAAGCCTCTCTATGTCCGCTGCGTTTAGTGAGATATCGGCAGTGATATATGATGCGCTCCATGACGAGACACCTGGGTAATTTTCAGTGATTTGCAATCTGTGCTATCGATTTCGTTTCAATTGGCAAAAGTAACATATCCTCAGAATAGTTTCAGATTACTCGATTTTATGCCATTTCGGGTGCCTTCGCTTGATGATGATGCACGGGTACCACCGTCGGAAAGCAGCCGCTTCGACGGAATTTATGATTGGGGAGGAGAATCCGAGACGTGAGTTTTCTGCTTTGCGGATCTTCTCATTTTCTCTTGCAGGTTTATCAACGGAGATTTTTTGAAAAAAAAATAAAAAAAAAACGGAAATTTTTCTATAAAAAAATCCGCACGTATTCGAAAATACCACTCGTTTTCAGCTTAACACATGCGTATTCGGACTTCTCTTTGTTTGGCAGTGAGAGTCATGAAACTGCGGTCAGTGCTAGCCAATCTTCTTCGCAAGAGGAGACTTTTCCAAATTTTGTCGGATGGGAGGAAAGCCCAACCTTTCCTCACATATCGGTAGGTCTATGCATTTTGAATATTGTTCCGACGGTCAGTCCATCAGACTTATTCTTCCCTTTCAAGATCAACTTGATTTTTACATGAACATTGCCAAATTACCTATGAATTTGGTCTGTGTGAATCGTCGCGCTGTACAAAGCATATTGAAGAAAGCTTTTTTTTTTGAAAGTAAGCGCAAAATTTATCTGCATCTTTAGACTTTTCACGGCCCATTTGCTTCATACTCTCGCTGTTCTCTCTGCCAATGTCGTCTGTCCACAAGCTTTGCTAGCCATCAGACCCATGTTAGTGGTAGACGTCATCAGCAATTCATTGGAAGGTATAGTTTTGCACAATGATTGCTTCTTATACCCAATTCGTTGGTTCCTTCAGTCTGACGGAGGCCAATTCATCCAGAGGCCGACGTCGACCTCAGTCAGCCGCAGCTGTAGGATCTGCTCATACTCCTAATTCAAACAACCGCTCTTTCCATGCAAGTGCCACAGCATCAGCCTCTACTCGACCTACTGAAACAGTGAATCTGAGTAGGACCCTTAGTAATCGTAACATTTTGTTCTCCATTTCAAAAATGAGTTCAGGTTTGCCCTCTGCCAGAAGAAGTTTGCCGCATGGGACATCAGATCAAAGAACAAACATGCCGGAATCTATACCTAGATATGGAAGAAACAATCGAAGAAACACAAGACCACCCGTACGAGAAGAGCAGCACCAAAATCAGAATCAAAGCAACCGAAACAACAGAGGTGCTAGGAGTGGAAACGATGTTAATCGAAGAAACAATAGAAACACTTTCCGACGCCCACAAACAGCAGGCTCGAACAGACAAAATCCAGCTTCTGGTTGGGATAATCAAGAGTGGCCGGTTATTGGTTGGGGGCAACTTCCATACGAATACGTTCCTGGATGGTCATTCGGCTATGGCGGCTATATACAATAATGTATCAGAAACTAGTCTTGTTGACACAACTTCTGCCCCTTTGCTGTATTATATATAATGGTTCTAGTTGTGTCGTAATTCACTTATTTTAAAGCTGAAAAATTCTTGAGAAATTCTTTTGAGACGAAATGGCTTTAGGTTTCCTTCTGATTTGCTGCGGAACACATATCGTACATTCCTCAAAATTGTTCCCATAGGTATTATCACTGTGGCTGTCTTTCGATCGTTTTGAGTTGTCAAGTTTGAATATGCGCCTTAAATTTGCTTGAGTTAATATGTTAGAACGATCAAAGGACAGCCATGTTTATGGTACCTCTGAGAACAATTTCGGGGGATGCACCATATGTCTTGTCTACTGGTCCGCATTCGCAGCAATGGAGCACGGTTTGCTTTTATTGGTTCATGCGTATTCTCTGTCTGAGGTACATTTCTTTCTATACTTACTGGTATATGTAATACATAGGTAGCAGATGGGTGAGGAGGACTTGGTTCCTTTTTTCACTGATATATGGAATGTCTTGCATTCTTTCCTTTCTTATACTGATGTCGTATAAAGGCGAAGTATACAATGTTGTTGTACATAGAGATGTTACAAGCAAATAGTCGCATCAGGGATATAATTTCACTCAGCTTAAAGGTCAGTGTCCAGGCAAATCTGGGCCTTTGGGGATCTTACTTGGAGTATAAGGAGGGTAATCTTGGAGCCCTAACTAATACACTGCCCAAGCGGCAGCTCAAATGGTAAGCTCACAGTTGAGATATTCGCCTCCAAATTGGACCCCGGGATTGTATTCGCATGGGTCCATGGCGCGATTCATCAGTATCAACACCCTTGCGTGTCACGCCATGAATCCATGCGAATACGATCCCGGGATCCAGTTTGAAGGCGAATATCTCAACGTGGGTTCATCATTTGAGCTGCCACTTGGACAGTGTCTTAGTTAGTGCCCTAAAATTACTTTCCACATCCGAACCCCGTATGTCCAGATTTGCCTGGACGCTACCTTTGCGGGCAGTATCCAGGCAAATCTGGGCCCATGTGTTTCTTGCCTGAAAACTGACGGGAAGCCTATCTAAGACACTGCCCAAGCGGCACTGCAATGGTGTTTTGAATTTCACATTCATTTTAGTATACTAATAGTCCGGTTATTGGTTATTCGCAAACTTTTGCGCACTCCCAAAATTATCGGTTTAAATTTCAAATAATCAGGTAAAGTTCAACTTTGGTTGAGAAATCAAAATATTACCTCAGAAGTTTGGAACCATTTGTTACGATACGCGGTGACTGAACAAGATCGTTGACTATGTAGACAAAACGGTTTTGAAATCGCTAACTATAACGCTTTGAACCATACAGGCAAGAAGTTTATTTATTTATTTATTTTTTTTGCGTAAATTTTATGCGGATGCATAAAAAGCAATTCACCACGAGTCCACCACTAGTACCCATGCCACGCTCCTAATGTACGTCATTCTCTATCATGCTGGCGCAGGTAAATTCAGCTTTGGCACCTGCCAGACTTAATCCTCTTGAGCCGCTTGATCCGCTTCGTGCAGAACGCGCGCACACAGCAGTCTGTCATTTGGCGCCGCGTAGGTAAAAAGAATTTTGTATGGTTAAGAGCAGGGCTCAGCACAGCTGGCACCGGGTCAAGCTGGATATCGTTTTTAGGGCGGAAAGCAAAGGGGTTATCGTTTCTACAGGGGCCGAGGCGGAGAACTGCCGCAAAAATGCCGCCGGCATGCCATCGGCATGCCATTGGCAAGCTGTCCATCAACAAACAAAGGCGTTGTTTTCAGCCAAAACGCAATAGTATGACACCAAATTTGGTGTGTGCATGCGCGTTGGTGGACCGGAACTATGGGCCAAAAATTTATGAAAACTTATGTGAATGAAAGCTGTGCCCAACTTTTTTCTGAATTAGCTGGCACCGTGCTAGCTGGGTGCCAGCTGAGCGGGTGTATGTCGAAAGGCGCGCGTTTCGGTAATCGCCATTGCCAGGAGGGATTTGTACTCTACATAAGCTGTCTTTCCAAACTCGTAAAGTTTTGTCATCATTTGACAAATAGTAACAGAGGATTACTAGTTGAATCCCGGAAGTATTAAATCAATTTCGAACTTTTTTCCTGGTTTTCCGATTACTGAGAATCAATCAATACGCGCCATTCGACCTCTTCCCCCAGCTGAGCTGGCACCGACACTTTGCTCACATAAGTTTTCATACTTTTTTACATAAAATGTATCTACACTGTAAAAGATTACATACGGAGAAGAAACAGTTTCATGTTGCTCTCTTTTCAGCGTTTTATAGCAATTTGAAAACTACTCGGTCCGCTCCGCAGTTAAGAAATCGGCTTTTTCTGCTTCTCAAGATGTGATTCGATCACTTAAGCTCAGAAAGCTGTGAAAAGTTCTTTCATGAAATCAGAAATGCATGAAAACACTGCTACATTTTTTACATAATATAAAAATGATGACGGGTTTTCAAAACAGGTCAAAAGGGACTTCGTACGAAATTTTCAATATCATACGGGACTTCGTTTTGAAATTTCCCTGGTGCCAGCTCGTGCCGAGCCCTGGTTAAAGGCAGTGTCCGGGCAAAATGGGGATTCTGAGATTTCTCTGCCATGTGAAAGTAGCCCCCCTGAGACACAACATCGCGCAACTGCGAGCATAAAACGTTCGACATAAAGCAAGAAAAACGATTGCAAATTGGGGAAACTTACGCCTTGGGGCGGGGTCCTCCGAGTTGTTTGAATTCCTGCCGGACGGCAGAGTACGTATGCCGCCACAGTTAAAAACCGTGCGCTCTTTGCAACCTCTGCGTCTTAGCCTGGCGGGGATCCCCAAATTTCGAAATGTGAGGACTTGGAAAATGCATGTTCTCGCCGTTTTCGCGCCTTCTGATGTGGATTTTCGGATTCAGCGTTGCGGATAACCCCAGATAAGTTGATTTTTTAGAAGTCGAGTTTCTGCCCGGACACTGCCTTTAAGAGGAACTTAAATGCTGCGAAATGGCCGTTATCACTGGAGCGCGTTCTCGACTTGGGACTTGAGTTTCGCCCAGACCAACGCTGTACGCGACGCCAGATGACAAATTAGGGGTGGAGGAACGAACGCCTCAATTTGGCACCGCCTTCGCGGACTACTGGTCCCAACACGATGTACAACAGTAAGACGAAAGGACCAGCAGCCCGCAGAAGCGGCGCCTAATTGAGGCGTTCGTACCTCTACCCACAAATTAGTGACGCCGCGTTTTGCACGAAGCGGATCAAGCGGATCAAGTATGGCTGCCCCTGAGAGAAAAACTCTGATGAATACGAAAATTATACCTTAAAGTAAATTGTGCCCTGAGGTACAGCTCAAGTAAATCGCACTGCAGTAGTGTTCACTCTAATCTCATCATTGTAGTAGGAAACACTAGAAGATGTATTGAATAAAATCAATTCTTCTTACAAGGGATCAAACAAATTTTGCCGAAAAGAACTCCGAAGTGTCCAAAAGCGCCAAAAAGCACTGAGCGCGCGAACGCGCCACGCGCAAGCTATTACAAGCTCTTGAAAAATCACTGAGGTCTGCAGTTACTGACATGGTCAAGTTTTCTTCCAATATTTTTCGAAATAACCAGACTACTAGACTTTGAAGGGGCCAAGTAACAGATAAGTAATGCGAGACCAAATAGGACAGGAACTTTTAGAACTTAAAATCTTTCTGGTCATTTTTATCGCCTTTCAAACTGTGTTCAGTCTCTTCAGCATCGTCTCTGCTTCGCTATACTTCCCTGCTAACTTCGAACTGAGAATCATTTATGTAATACTCTGGAGAGTATCTGATGAGCTATATCTCTTCCTCTCACACTTTCAGTACATGTATAGTATAATATTTTCAATGCATCACAAATTTATGCGCACGCTTCAAAAGTATGAAATTTGTAAAAGAGCTTCCTAAACATAATCACAAAGATGATATAAATGTTGAAAAAATAAAAATACAAACTAGATAAGAGTGACCAGTTAACAACAGTTCGCTAAACGTGGTATCCGACCGCAGCTGTTTACGATCTGGAACATACATGAATTCATAACGTTAACAATCACATTGAAAAAGTGGGGCTGCCAAAGTCCGTTGTTTGGCAATGATGCACAATGATGAGTAAATGAAGAGTTAGCAGCAGATATACGAGTGTTGAGAGTCATTTAAACCGCAGCATCAAAGAATATGAAAGAAAGACAGAAACGGACTTAACTGTGTCGCAATCATTTCAAGTTTCCCTTCGGGTCTATCAGAAACAAAACCAGAAATCAGTTTCTGGTAATAAGTTAATAAATTTCAATCCACAAAAGTTCTAAACCGTTCCCCTTTTCCTCTCAAATGCTTCTGCAAAGCAACCCAAAATGTGTTTGAGAACATTATGTGCTGCGATGAAATGACTGCGACTGTAAGTTTGATGAGACGGGCAAAGAAAACCTATGGAGCCACGGACGCTACTTCAGACAGGAGCACCTAAATTGTGCTTAAGTACAACTTACAGAAATCTACAGTATAATTTGAAGGACATCTTGCATAGAAAGAAACATAGGGTCTAATAAAAGAGAAACTTGCAGCTTTGGCAGGCATTATCACAAGAACAGAGCTTTAGTGTTAAGCTTCAGAGAGCCTTTCTGTGACGACAAGCCTGTGTGGGATCAGGACTTCAACCATACATTTAGCTACCGGTATGAGAAAACGCTCGTACGATGGAGAACAGACATTATCATAAATGTGGATGTGGCTGTGATGTCGGAGGGGGTGGTGTTTGGCGGAAGACGTAAGGTGAGAAGTGCCGCGCCAACATCGGCATTCCGGGGACTAACGGCATCATTGCCGGGGGTGGCATCAAGCCAGGAGGTAAATTTGGGAAATGTTCAACTCCTGTTGGCCGCGGACCTATGGCGGCAGCGGCCATTGCTACAGCTGAACAGTTCGGGCATGTACTGTCATGAACTCCACCTCCAAAATCCAGCCGAAATGTACCTAAAACTACCGAGCTCAAAACATTTTCAGGAAAAAGAAAAGAAAAAAGAGGCAACCAGTTGTACCTTCTTTCTGGAGTGGAGTATCTTTAGGACACTGAACAAAAGCATGAGCACCTGCGCAATTGCTGCATGAAGGGAATTGTACCTGTAACATGCATCACCAAGCGATGTTGAAATCCTTATTTTCTCACTCATCATATGCAAATCACTTTTCAATCTTCAAGCACATCTTTCTTGATGTAAGTACTCGTTCATGTTAGTGAGGGCTTCACTACATTCACTTCACGATGCTGACACATCATTCACAAACCTCAGCTCAAAAACAGATTTTCTGTACAAATGTTCTTCCTCAATAATAATGGAGAAGAAATATACGAGGGTGCGCGCAAGATCTCCTCTAATTCCACAGGAGATTGGGCGCACGCATTACGTGCATTTTCCGCGAGCATCCGCATTCTCTAAGACTACGCTATATCAGTTATGTGGAGCAGAGATTATTTAATACAACGGCGAAAATTCTTGAGATTGAAGTGGGTCTTGAATGTCGTAAAAAGTCCAGGAAGCTTAGTAGTAAATGAAAAAGATAAAATTAGAAAAAGATACCACCAAAGTGCAGGTTCTGCCTTCTAACTACAGAGGAGATACGGCATGCTTACAGAAGTGACCATCACAGTCATACTATCATCTAAAATCAAAATACTCAGGTACGCTTTGCAGACTTTAGTTAGTTAGTAGTCGGGATTTTCGGATGATTTACCTCTTAAAAACAAGGCGGGACAAGTTTGTTAGACAACGTACCCTCTGTTTCACTGGAGTTGTCCGCTGGAAGGCAGGGCCTGATCGATTAGAGAGCACGCAGGCGTGAGAGCAGGCTCTGCATCTCCCCGCGTAAGCGCTCTCTGATAGACCGAAGCCCCGCCCAGCCGCTAACTCCAGTGAAATAGAGGGTATGCGCTAGGGTTTTGAGTATTCCAAGCTCAGAAAAGGTGATACGAGCGCAGCTCATTGAATCGAAGCAATAATTACCCTAATTTCCGGGGTATAAGGCGCAGTAGCTTTCACCGTGCGCGAGCTGATGATGATGACGTATGCGATGCGCGGCGCGGCGCAGACAGCCAACAGCAACCTCTTTCATTCAGTAGCTTTTTGCTCCCTTTCTTTATTGGTTTCCTCTCAGTAATGATTTGTTTCAGAACAAATCTCTGCTTTCTCTTCTATTTTTCAAGAATGACAAGAATAAAACAAACAGCGCTCACAAAATATCAGTAGTTCATTGTAAAGGAAAGCACAGTTTTAGTACCAGTAGCATTACTGGAAACAAAGGAAAGCACAAATGTAGCACGGAGATTAACCACAGCAGTCTTGAGTCTTCAGTTTTCTGGATTTAGAGAGCAATCGTTTAGAAAGCGTTTTCGCGCCATTGTTCGCTGCGGCAGGTGCGCCTTATACAAGGTGCGCCTTATACCCCGGAAATTAGGGAACCGGAAACCCCTTATATCTGCTTCGACTGCAAGGGCAAACCGCGCCAAACTGGCCCGGAAACCTTGGGATAGCAACATACATGCATTGCATAAACAATCAACACGTGAGGTGGTAACTATCAGCAAAATCAATCTGATCAAGAGACGTATTTCTATCGCACCTAAGTGCACCGGTACAGAATATTCGCAGTAAATTTGAGGGCCATTTGAAGCCACTTAAGAAAAAAGTCAGCTACGCCTCAGTACCTGCGTCTGAGGTATTTTCTCCTGAGCCGGATTTTCGTCATTTTGCTCCGGATTTGACTCCTGTAAAATGGTGAGAAGTGTAAAGTGCGGACAAACACAAATCATCCTCAGTGAATTCGTAGTTCTCCATGCTAAAAGAGTTTTTGCCGATAAAACAAAGTCATTACACATGGGGACATGAAATGCGCATAGCCAAGTTTCACCAAAAACGACACAAAACACATGTACAAATAATGCTATAAGCGAAAGTGTTCAAGAGAGTCTGGCGCAATCCTGATGCGTATATGACAATCACTTCTGTCAACGTTTACAATAAACGACAGCAAAGTAACTATGGAACATATTACCCAGTCTTTCATTTTTGATCGCATTCTGTTGCGAATATTTAGGGAAAAACTCTAAAGACACTAAAGCAGGAACGAATTACAAAATTCTACTCACCTGGATGCCTATACCGCGTGAGCTGTAAGCTAATGCTGCAGAAGCGACAGGGAAAGTCGCAGGAGCGGAAGCAGGATTACGGAATCGTTGTGGTTGAGGAGAATTATTTCTCATCGGACGTTCTGCTACCTAATTAGTTACTTTTGAATCGTATGTAATTGAGCGGAAACAAATTGTGAATGGTTCAAACTGAGGATGAGTTAGGTTTTATGTACCTCAACTTCTTCCGAGCTAAGCCGAGAAGCAAAAAACTGTTCGTAGATGACTGAGCTTAACATCATTCGTGCCGGCAAATCCGAAAGTGCATTGATATACTGGATCACAGCTGCAGGTGAACTTTCCATAGAAAAATACGGCAGTATTCGCAGTGCGGAAGAGCCTGTATTCATATTGCATTTCTTAAAAAATCATCATACACTAAAATGGAAACGTACCGACAGCTGGTGTTGGAGTGGCATTCGAGTCAGTGGCGGTAGGTGAAGGGGTTCGCGAAGAGCACGCCGATTCCGGTTGTTCAGTTTCGGCCTCCTGAGCTTGTTTTAGCTCTCGCCGCTCTTCACCAAACATATCTAGCAGACGATGATGTAACGTATTGATATCTTTTCGTGTGCGTCCAACAAATGTACGTTCGCCATCACTCCAAATCATCTACAACAATGTAAATGAGTTCTGTCAAAAACCAACGAAAATCTCACCTCAACCAAAAAATTGTCCGGATCGTCAGGGTCAGGTTGCGTAGCATGGAAGCGTCTCACAAACGCAAATCCTCCTGCTAATGGAGAGCTTCTACAGCTCGCTGGGATGGACTTGCTATCATTGGAGGCAGAAGAGGGTACGGGAGGAGGGTTCATTCGCGCAATGAGTTGTTCCAATCGGTTTCTGATATCATCACGTGCATGAACCATGCGGATCCGCTGATCAACAGAAAATGCAGGATGATGGATTGAAGCAGAGACTGAATAGATAGAATTTGGCATTGCAAACGATTATATTCTACTTATATAGTGAGCGGTAGTGCAGTTGTACAAAGTTAAGAATGTAAGTTGTATGTGATCCTTGCTGAAAATTTGCAAACAATGCTGCACATCTAGATTTTTCCGAATAATCGGTTAAACGCACCGTCCACCCAAATTGTGGGTGATAAGATTCTTAAGCTGTGTAAAAGCGAGACTTCTGGCTAAGCGACTATTCGGTTTCCAAAACGAGATTGCCCAGAAAGTACCTGCCCGCACATTCATCCCGCCCATCAACGTGGGGGTCTGGAAGTAATGGGTGCTAGATGAGACGAGCAGCTAACCTGTCGCAACTTTCTCTTTTCTCATTAGTGGAATATTTGACGCTTCTAGCAACTTGAAGTCCTTTTAGCACGCACTACTACTTTTGGACCTCCCACAATGACCGGGTCGGACGTGTCGCGGGTGCCCTTTTGGAGCGATTTTCTCACCTCAAAATTCTCTTTTGAAGCGGGACCTAGACGATTACTAGTTAAGGGCCCCGCTACATACAGCATAAAATTCTCACCACTCAAAGATGGACGGTGTCTTTGATTGCAACACAAACACCAAAGAAACTGATCAGCAAATGAAACTTGCCTAGCTTGCCGAGATTGATGAGTACTTCACGACGAGCCTCATCGGTTGAAAGCATTTCTAATTCCAAATCTCTGATTGTCATCAAATGATCTATGAGTCGGATTAGAGCATGTGCACCCTGACGATTTGTGGAGTTCAGCAGACAAACAACATTATAAGCGGCTTCTACTTTGAGAGCATATGGAATTTGGCTCCTAGAATTCTCATACCAACTGAGCAAGATATTTCTGTAACATCATTGACTAACATCTCCGTAGCCATCGTGCTGATAAACTGTGGGCAATTAGAGCGAGTCTCATGCTGCCGCATCGTAGGGGTCGAAGATGCTGGTCGCGCTGCTCCTTCCACGCAAGCACCCAGTAACCGAAGTTCATATATGTTCAAAAACGATACTAATTCACAAATTGTATCCACACGATCCCATGACGACATCTACAATACAAAAAGTTGATTTGGGGAGTCTAAACGGGAAAATATGTGAAGCTTACAGAAAGAACGTTGAGAAGCCCGTCGCCATTTCCACTGGATGATTCAGTTTGAGATGCTGCACCACTCACTGAGATATACCCTTCAGAGACCCCACCACCCACTGCCTCGGAAGACGAACAGCACGGATAAGTGTCTTCCGGTGTTCGCACAGCTCCCTCATCACTGGAATACTCCATCTTTATTGCAAGAACAAAAAAAAATACGCAAAAGCACACCTAGCATAGTCAATTTGCGAAGTAACGGAGTATGACTGTGACGTATCCCGTGCTGGTCGCTGCTCATCCTCATTGCTTTTACAGCGAACAACTGTACCGTTTCGGTCTCCCCCGGAGGACGACATAGTATTTCGCCTGGAGGACTCTGACGAGAGCGACTCGATGTCACTGCTTTCAGTTTGTGAGCTAGCAGCCTGAAAACAACGTCCAGGTGCAAGTAATCTGTTAATTTAGATCACGCAGATATTTTGCTTTCACCAGGGCTTGTTGATCGCACTGAGCAGCAGTAATTTGTGCAATTATCTAATCGATTATTAAGTAAATTATACATCCGAAGGGCATTTGACGAGCAAATGGGAGACTTTACACTGTACAATAAGTCATAGGTCAAAAGAGTCGCCTTGATTTCAATCTACCTTATATAAGCTAGACGACTCTATAAGTAAGTATACTTGGGTTTGTATACAGGTTCCATGCTAAGCCGCTTATAAGGGAAGGATAGTTGGATGCCGCGGCCATTCCTAATGATTTGTATACCAAAAAATGCGCCTTCGAATGCAGATTCTGAATCTGTGCTCGAAATTTGCGAAGCGATCTTTTGAAGAAAGTCATGAACTTTTTTCCTTGAAAATTTAGCCTATTTTTGGATAGTACAAATCACCAGATTTGATGCAGCCTACCGTTTGATGCTACTGAAGAAAATTTTAGGCGTAGTAGTATTTATTTAGACTATCTGGATCATATTCAGCATTTGGAAAAGAGAGAAAATTTTTTTATCGATGATTTTGACCCTCCGCAGGAACGCGGTTTTTTTTAATGAAAAAAAATCATAACTCCATTCAGATTATCGTTTCGCAGATATGAAAGACAGTCTACGAACCAGCATTCAAAAGCGCATTTTTTGGTATACAAATCATTATGAATGGCTACGGCATCCAAGTATCCTTCCCCTGTTAGATGGACGAGACTCTTAATTGATACAAAATTTGTATCATGCTTTATCAACATAAGAAAGTGATGGAAAAAGTTTTGGAAACAGCAACTTGATTCAGTGTTGCTCTACCACACTGTCAGCTAAGTCCAAACAGAGGACGATTTTTATAGAAAACCTTTTTTAGTGAAACTACACAACAACTAGTAAGTTGTCAGACTTGCAAAAATGTCCGGATTTATAAATGGGGAAACTGACTTGCAACTAAAACCCAAAGAGCAAAAGCTTCTAAGGAAGTTTAATTTTAGATGGCAAGTGATTGAACAAGTTATAAAGATGAAACGATAAAATAAACAAATCAAGTGACCATACCAGGTTCCCGTTTTGCAAATTTGAGGTATGATTAACAGATCCATTCATTAGCGGCTTGTCATCTTCCTTCTCCTTCGCAATCCCATTTACGGCTATGCGGCTTTCAGTACCACAGGATTCAGAAACAGCAGTAGCCACGCTTGCGGCAACGGTGGACTCCTTTTGAGCGGAAGAGTCTCGCCGAGCGCTAATGCCACCACTTTTCTTCCGACGATTATTCGGCATCTACAACGAAAAGCATCATACAATTTTGGGTCTCAGGTAGGAAAACAAGCAAGATATATTGAAAGTGCAAAATGAGTATGTATAGACGGAAATCCGATAAACAAAACATTGGACTAAAAGGAAACATTTATACAACCTTAACAACGATAAAAAAATCGGCAACCCGCATTAAGCATGAGTCAGTTACAAGGTGGCAGTATGAAGTGAAAGGATTGAGCAGCAATACAAAAGTAGGCTGTGAACTCACAACTGACGACTACAAACCTATATAACAGTAACGATGAAACGAAAACTCAAGCCCATTTTCAGAGAGTAACTGCGATCGAGCAGTTTCATCTTCTTTGAACCGATCCCATTGTACACCCGTAAGGAACACATCAGCATCAAAACTAAATGGAAAGTTATATTCGTGCAGCTGATAAAGCAATGACTGTAAAATCATACAAGAACTGACTCTTTTTGTATCTTCGTGATTAACATTTCGTCCACAAGTTCTTTATCTAGAGCAAGTTTGTAAATCTCAGCGCCACCAATGTCCCAAACCTTCTCGATTTTTTCTGACAGAGCACCAAATGACAGCTCTTTCATTATGTCGTCGAAGTTGTCACTATAATATGATAAATGTGCGGGAAAATAATTTGTCACAATCTCTCAAATACCTGATGATAAGGTTTTCTTCTCTGCAGCTGGGCAGTGTTCGACTTATTACGATATTCAGACGATTTTTTAGAGGTCGAAATTTCGCTGGTATGCTTTCCCAACATTTGCGACCCATGATAACTGCATTCTTCTGCAATGAGTGGGAAGTTGTAGCCTATCCATCTATGTGACCCATGTGAGAATGGAAAAATGCGAGGTTGATTGAGCCAGAATGAATGGAAAATTTCAGGATTGAATTTTCTGATGGATATGAAAATCTTGGATATTGATAGAATACCGCAATCGGTATAAGAGCAGAAAATCAGATAAACAGTTGTTAGTAGTTGGTGTTGAATTTTACCATTTCCGCCTAAATTATGTCCGCCTTGGTCGACGGGATGTGGTGGCAGATGGTTGTTTGAAAAGCTAGAAGCATTTTTTCAGAGTTGTTTGAAAGGTCGATGGAGCTCAGCACATCACGGCATTGGTCCACCTTTATTTTACAGTTCTGGGCTCACAATTTTGAATGCAAATATATCTAATTCTATTTGCAAAGCTCATCAAACAGCAGAAAACAATCACAAAAACCTATAGCGGCTTCTAAGGATGAATAGTCGCACGACTCTTAACTCGAAAGGAACAATACGCAGCCAAAATTTCAATTAATGAGCAGATTTTATGTGTAGCATATGACAATGAAAATGGTAAGCAAAGTAAATAAAAGCGAGCGTTGAACAGAACCAGCGCCGACGGTATAAGACCCACCTTAGTTGGATCACTGGTGTTTGAGGTTTGCTGCACGAAGAAGCTCATGTCTTTTTTCAAAGCCCATGGTATCTTCCCTTCTTTTCCAATGCCAAATTTCGAATCAACAGCAACAATTAGTCCAATCTTCCGAAGTGTATTTGGCTCTCTCATGATATCTCAATGAATGAAAATACGCTTCAGCACTCTTCACGTACAGTTCGGACTAGAGATAAGCGGTCGATAAATTTCTAGACAAAAAGTGTAAAAAATTTGATGTGAGCAAATTTTTTCTTAACAAAAGGCATATGGTGGTTCATACTTCATACGACACGAAATAAGGAGAATCTGCTAAATTTGAAAGTTCGACTGACTATGAGCAAGAGCACAAAAGGTAGGAACCTGATTAAAAAAATGCAACATTGCGGATGTGGTATGGAACAGGGTTCCCAGTAGGAACCCTATTTTGGAGATACGAATGAATGAACGGTAGGGATTGTGAACTACACCGGATATACTTTAAAACTGATAGCGTATATGAGAACATCGATCCAGGGACCCAATCAAATTCTTGCACTCGTGTAATGGAGAACACTTCATGCTGTGCTGTTATGATGACGCCGACAAAGCAATAACAACTCGACGGAAGGCAAACCATACAAATAATCGTCCAAAAATAACTTCTAAATCAACTTTTCTGTCAATTATGCAGATTCACAGCAATAATTTGGCAGGAAAGCTGATCCGTGTAAAATTAGGTACTCAAGTGCAAAACTGCGCACACATATGTGAAACGCATTTGTAACCGCCTTGTAAGCGCTAGACCATGCACACTAGTAACGTTATTCAGTCAGAGTGTAAGCAAAGTGTAAGACATTCTGAAACGTGATAAGTAAAGTGGAACGAAAACTGCAAAGCAGAAAAAAAGGGATGCAAGCGCGGTACCACTAAAGGGACGGGAGTAACAAATGGAGCTGGTCTCAACACGGTTCACGGTAGGCGCATTTTCCGTAGAGCGCGAGTTGCAACTGTGACACCTTCTGTATTCTGCTGTGATAAAATCTTTGTTTTTGGTGAAGGAGCTGTTGTGAAAAAGCTGAAACTTATTGTTAGAGAAATCGACGGGCTGGCAGCAGCTGGAACCTGCGGTTAATTCGCAGTAGAGTCTAGGCGACGATATACGTTTTGGCTCACAAACAAAAATTTGATAAATGAACGAACGGGAACCTTATAAATGCACTCATAACTACCGTCCTGTAAGCATAATGTCCATATCTGCGCGCCTTTTCGAAAAGTTGACAAAATTCAGATGACGAAGCTACAAAAGCATAGCATAATACTGCAAGCGCAGCATGGTGTAAAAGGGTAAATCAACTGTTGGCCATAAATATAGCAAGGGTTTTCACCTTATATCTCAGAAGCAAACGAGTCATGAACATAACATTTATTAAGTAACAACTGGTATATTAGCAATCGTAAGTTAGATACTTCTCGATTCGGCCACCTTTGGCACGGACGACAGCGCAGAGTCGCTTGGGAAAGGCATCGATGACCGGACGCAGGAGTGCGTCGTCGATTTCGTCCCATTCTCGGATGAGCGCTGCCTTCAAAGAATCTAGATTAGGGTGGGGAGTGGCGCAGATCTTGCTCTCAAGGTAGGTTCAAATCCGGTGACGATGCCGGCCATTCTTCTGCCGGAATGAAGTCGGGGAGTTCGCTCTTGCACCACGCTTGGACGACCTTGGCCTTGTGGGCAGGGCCGAATCTTGCTGGAATTTCCACGGGCGGCTGTTGAAGTGGGAATTCGCCCACGGGAGTAGAGCATCCTCCGGAATCGTCTTCAGGTAGTAATCTTTGTCGATTTTGACGCCAGGGCCGGTTAGGCCGGCCGGCTTTGTGCAGACGAACGATAGCGGAACGATCAGGAGAAGGCTTCACCATTTCACTATAAATGGACCAAATTTAACCAGATAACAGGAGTTAAAAAATGATGAGATTGAAAAATTGAATAAAACTGGCGCGCTATGTGCGCGATAGAATGTACGCTAACTGCAGTAAGTCTTGTCGCTACAATTATGGCCAACCCTTACATGATTAGACTCTGTCGTTAGATTCCGACATAAGTATGTTTCGCAGAGGTGACGCGCTGGTTCTACTATCCGTATGTCTTCTTCGTGATCGCAAGATAAGGACTTCAAAACTCACCGCGCGGTGTCGCTCATCACGAATGAATTGTAAACAACCGTTCATTTTAAAGCTTTCCCATGTAAGATTGGTAATTTTGGGAGAAAAAATTTTCCATAGAAGAACAAATGCGATTTTGAAGAGGTTACTGGATTTATTTCGGCTTTATGGTCGCCATAAGGATAGCAATTACTTTAAGTTACATATCTATTCAAAAATCCTTTCAATTTCCAAAGTAAAAACTTGACAAATTGACTATTTGCGCAGTCACACCTTTTTGGCGTCAAATTTGCGTAAAAATAGACTTTTGCTTTCTTTTTGAGCTGAAGTCAATGTTTTTCGGATTTACTTGTTGGATAAATCCACGACTTTGCGAAAAGATCCATTAGCGACCCATTTTAGCGGGCCAGAGGTCGCGCGGGTCCGTTTGACGCACAGTTTTGATGGTTCCACTTACTGGATCGGCTTGTAGTTTTGCACAGTTCACCTACTCTCTGATAGGGTGCTATAAAATTCTCTTTCAAGTCGTTGGCTGCACCTTGCTATATGAATCTCGTGACAGACAGACGTACAGACAGACAAACAGGCAGACGCATAGCGCTTTACTATAAGTCATAATATTCCAACAAAGCATTCTTAAAATGAAATCAATATTAATACACCGGTGCATAGTCGCTTAGATTTTTGCATTTTTATCTGATCGTAAATTCACTGTACATACTAATCATACTTCTTCAATACTTAGAGCGATGATTAAGAGGTACCGCAGGGTGGCCTCCTGTCATCAATTCGATAACTTCTATACTTATGATCCTTCTAAAGTAGTCTCTAAAATGGAAGTGTCGTGCTACGGCTTCGCTGTTGATTTCGAAATACATAGTACAGTAGCGAAAGCCGAAGATAAAGTTGAGATCCAGCGAGCGCTAGATGCAGTGGTTGCATCGTCGATAGATTGGAATTTACCCATATGTCGGGAAAAACTAAAGTACTCAACATTGGCACTACTGATTCAGATTATCGATATAGGATTGAAGGAGAGACCTTACTATGTCAATGAAGTAAGAGATCTAGGGTTTCTGGTGAAAGTAACCCGAGTTTCGATAAGCACTGTGAAGCAGTTGCTGCCAAAGGTAATGCGGCTGTATATAACCTATTCAGAGCATTATCAACTAGTGACACATGCCTTCTCATTAGGGCTCATAAAACTTATATCAGGGCGTTATTAAAGTACGGTACTGCAATCTTCAACCAGGGCTCGGCATAGGTGGTTATGAAGCTGGATGTCGTATGGGGTGAAAAGCAAGGGGGATATCCTTTAGGGAAACCTCAGCCCCCTCCCCTCACCCTTCATCGGGAGACAGTCAAGAGGCGCGATTTTTCCGGCTGTCACCAACTTAAAACCTAAGTTTTTCGCTATGAAGGTGTTCAAAAAGTGGCGGACAACGTCCATCGGCTTACTAGCTATTTGAAGTAACCATCTGATAAGTTCGACGAATTTTGCTTGAAAACTGACAGAAATAGTTACAAAATTGCTATAAACTGCATTTTCATGGGTTTTTGATCTTCAACAATTTTGTTCTGAATCGATTTCAAAAGGTAAGATCGAACAATTCCTGCAATTCTTTGATATACTTTTTTTGAAATTTCAAATAATCCTGGAACTTCATAAAACACTAAATATGTGCTAAATGCTGCCCATCTGGCAATAAGAACGGAGGTGCGATAGGTGGAGCCGCCCCCCCCCCCCAAAAGTAAGGTAGTTCCAGTGACCATGGCCGGCCAAAAGTGAAGGTGGTAGTGCCGGACACTCACTCCCCAAAAACGTCGACCGGGGGGGGGGGAGGGGGCTTCGGATAAGAGACTCTAACCCAACGGTCCTCTTGAGGGCCACAAATACGATGAGTACAGTAGCATAAAAATTAAAAAAGAAATGAACGTTTGGTGTGTACCAAGTGAATTAGGGTAGACGAATTGTGTGGAATATTTATTCACACTGGCGTAGATTAGTTGAGAGCGATCTATATTACAGTCGGGGGCTCCTTATATACACGAATAGAAGGCGGAGCTTGCCCGGGTACAATGTACAACGTAGGAGGGGTACATGGCTTAAAAGGAGTTGCCGCCGTTCGGCTACACTCCTGGTGCACAGGTGCCAATCATTCTTGAGTGATTAGATACTCGAGAATGAGTGGCGTACAATTCAGCCTATGGGAACTCCATAGGCGATGTGGAAAATGGAGTGGATTGGGTTGATGATATAGAAATCATCAACAGAACGTGTTGCCCTGGGTGGATTCGATTTTTCACTCAAGAATGTAGGCGTGAGTGCGAGAGTGACATTGCGAAAGAAAGCTGTACAACGGTGAGGGGCAAAACAATATTTTAGAGCGATGTGGTCTACCTTTCGCCCATATTTTGAGAAAATTCCCGAAAATCTTTTGGGAGCTTTTTCTCTGGGTGGATTCGATTTTTCACTCAAGAATGTAGGCGTGAGTGCGAGAGTGACATTGCGAAAGAAAGCTGTACAACGGTGAGGGGGCAGAACAATATTTTAGAGCGATGTGGTCTACCTTAAGCCCATATTTTGAGAAATTCCCGAATCTCGCTTTTGGGAGCTTTTGCTCTGGGTGGATTCGATTTTTCACTCCAGAATGTAGGCGTGAGTGCGAGAATGACATTGCGAAAGAAAGTTGTACAACGTGAGGAGCAAAACAATATTTTAGGGCGATGTGGTCCATAAATGCGATAGGTGGAGAAATTTCTCTGACCCCCTTCACTTTAAGGCAGGCATCTGGCTACCCCTTTCACCTGAGGTTGAGACTAGAATGAAGGCATAACGGCAGAATTAAAAGCCATTAAACGGCACTTTTTGTTTGGAGTGGAAGCGTTAGCTGTCTTCTCCTCAGACGTCAGGACCATAGTTGCGATAGGGGGAGTGATGGATCTTACCCCCTTCACTTTGAGGCCAAACTCCCGATGACCCCCTTCACCTGGGCTGAGATTGGTATTGTACTCTGAGAATATGATAAAAATCGTTATTAAAAGGTTTTGCAGGCTAAGTACCTC